CTTCTCTCTCTTCTTCTTCTTCTCTCTCTCTCTCTCTCTCTCTCTCTCTCTCTCTCTCTCTCTCACTCTAATTCCGCCTTCGATTTATTACAATTTATTACAATTTTAGAAATTTATTCTCAATTTCGAGAACTATCTCAAAAAATCATTTACTAACTAGAATAAAAGAAAAGGAATAATGCATAAATAAATTAATATATTTAGGAATATAATCATTGAGAGTAATCAATTTCAGGAAAATTATTTATATATTAGTGATTATCAATTATTATTCAATTCATTGTTATCGTTTGGGAAATCACCGGACGACATAAATAATTTGATTGTTTTACTTTGGATTATAAAATTTTTACTAAGTTTTCGAAACTTGTTTATTTAAAATAATTAAACTCTCTAGGATGCGTTTTTTCGATTGGTTTTTATGATTTTAAAAACAAAGCTTAAATAATTACTTTAAATAAAAAAGATAGGCTACCAAGAAATACCAAAAAACACAATCATTTTTATTAAGATGTAATAAATTAAATTTTTGAGATATTTAAGCATTTATAACTAGAGTTTTTAAACAATTTCTGATAGTTCCAGAAAGAAAAGAATTGCGAAGTATCATGGTATCTACAGAAATTTTTATGAGATCTGAGCGTACAATACTCGGGTCTCTTCCTTCCGCCGATGATGATGGCCGTCAGCACAGATCCGCTTTAAGTGATTACTGCATTTCCATACGCGGGCAGAATGCCGAAGAACGGAAACAATGTATCCCTGGAACAAGCGGCTCGGATATGCGCATTGTATTCCGGATATCGCGGCGATTCGCTAAACAAAACGGCCACTGGTTTTTGCCTCTCCTCTACCTCCCCCCCCCCCTCGGCGTCTTCCCTCCCGCATACTACCCTCAACGAGATTCAACCTCCCCGGAATCCGTTTCTTCCACCAACCGTGAGGAACGAATGGCATTCGTTAATATACGGAAATAACAACGGCGATGTGCTTTACGTCGGCGGACCGTAAAGCTT